CCCCTTACCCACTCTTGTCCTCTCTCTCTCTCTCCATATATAAATATATATATATAAATCTTTTCTTCTTTTGTCATTCAATCAAATTCCAACAACCCAACCAGAGCCAGTCAAATCCACCACAGTCTCGCGCTGAGCTAGGAATAAAGTTCACGTAATCACATGAGAGTGGAGAAAACAGTCCCCCATCCGTAAGTTCAAATCAACTCAAAGTTCACAGTGTGACATGATGGCGTCATGTAACAAGGCTAAGAATCGGTTGCATGACAATTGCCGTCAAGTTTCGTGGAGGTGCTGTGATTGGAGCGTTTTTCTTGGATGTTGTATCAGTTGATGATTGGCCAGTCATGATCACACGTGCATTCTCTTGACTTTTGTGCTGCCACGATCTTTTTTGCTGTGCTCATTTTTGTTTCGTTCTTGGTGCTTGCAGTGGTTTTACTTTCTGTTGTTTGGTTTTTCTTGTTCAGCGTTTTTTATGCTTCTCTAGATGTCACATAGAGAAAAAAACAAAACAAAAGCACAAAAAAAATTAGTAAAAATAAAGATGAATTCCTGAATTATCGAACATGGGATCATTTAACTGTGCAAACCATTATCTTTTTCTTAAAAAAAAATAAGGAAAACATCTTAAAATATGCGTGGTTGATTTACTTGCACTTGAAAATATTGTGATTTTATTTTTTTCTAGAAATTTGGGGGCCTTTTTCAATTGACACTTTCCCTGGGTCTGGTCTTTTTTCCAGTTAGGCCATTTTAAATCTCACTTCAAAAGGAAAACCAAAAAAAAAAAAAAAAAAAAAAATCTCTATAGTAACAGAATGATAAAAAAAAAAAAAATTCTAAACCAAAAAACTAGAGTACAAAGCCAGAGGCCTCTGAGAGAGAGCCTGTTAACAATTGTAAGGTTTGTATTTTAGCCACTTCTGCTAAATTAAATGTGGGCAGGGGACCCGGGGGCCCGGGGTGTCGGGAGGGCTTTTTGGTTGGTTTTGAAAAAGCAAAATGCACCTTTTTGTTTACAACTGAAAAAGGGTCCTTGACAAGTGTTTTTTAATTTTATTATTATTTTATTTGGTGTTGTAATTGTTTAGACTGCTGTGTACGGTTTGCTGTTTGTTGAATCAACAGTGTGAAAACCTGCCAGCATGGATTGATATACGCATGACGTGGGCCCCTCCACCGGGGGCTTTGCAGTTCTAACTCTCTTGGTGTAACCAGTCACCCCCATGTATAAGTGGAAGCTGCTTGCTAGAATGGAGATGAGTCTCATTTGTTAATTCACAGTGATTAAGCATTCTCCTTCTGATTCTAGTCAGATCATGATTTTTTTCTTAAAAGCAAAACAAAATGCCAAAAAGCCACCATTCAAAACGAAATCAAGAACTGAGTTATGTTTGATGATTAAATCCGTTCTAACTTCTTTTAGGTTCTCCCATCCACCCCTTGAAGATCTGAATTTCCTCTAAATTCCCTGGCATGTATGAGAAAAACATTAAGTGTGTGTATATGTGTGTATCTATGCATATACATACACACATATTCATGTATATCCACATATGTGCAGGTGAATATATTCTACACATATATCCAGATATACATATATATATACACGTAGCCTCGCAAATAGTTACTGACCTTGGGAAAGGAGTGGTTGGTGGAAAGTGGGCAAGGATTCAGCAAAATTCATGTCATGGATCTTTCTGCCTTTTCCTCAAGTTGGGGAGGAGTGGGGCTGGGCTGCTAGATTGTGCTATCTTGTTTGCTAGGCTTCTGTATACATATTGTATCTGGGATAGATCCCTCAGAGATCAGTTTAATTATGAATTCATATCCCACAGTCCCAAATTCATCCCTTAGACTGAGCCCTCCCCCAATCTAGAACTCTGAAGGAACCTGAATCAAGACCCCTTCCCACAACCTTCACAACTAGACCTCTCAGTGGTTTCTTGCTCTGAAGAGAAGAGTCAATTTCTTCTTTATGTATCATGATCATGACTAATTCTCATCCTGGTCCTTCCCTCCCT